CCGCATGGCTTGAACAGCATTTGCTAGTGTGTGAGTGTATGTGTGTGAGTATGTGTGTGCGTGTGTACAAGGCGTATGAGTAATGTGTAAAGTCGCAAATCTAGGCGCCTGCCTTTGCGGTGATAATTATTATCTGTCGTGCCACAGACACACTGAAAAAAGGATTTCGCAGCGCATAATTAGGTAGGCGCTCGTAGGTGCTGCAGCTAACAGAAACGCCCACTTGGTCACGCCCACCGTGAGTGTGTAACAACTGCAAGTAAAATGGGTGCGAAAGGGCTTTTGGCATAGCTGCGAGGGAATGCCCAGCAGGAATATACCCTGTAAATACGTCTTATAGACAAATATGATCGAATCTGGACTTAATACAGATAGAAAGCAATCAATAGTTGATGCTGTTCAAATATACCCTGTATTTAGCTATGATGTGAAATATACCCTAACAAAAATATAGATCAGATTTATATTAAAAAAAGTCTATATTCAATTAAAATGCTATTTTCATACATTGTACGCAGTTTTATGACTGAATACGATCATTTTTCAGCCAAATTTTTATATACACCAGCTAAACTATACCCTATAATCCGATAACAAAGCTTGATTCTGGACAATACGATCATTTTCTTGACTATATACATATCTGAATAGAAAATCAATTATGTTTGACTTAATTATGTTACAAAATGTCCGACTTGAAAATACCCTGTACTATGTATACTATGCCTATAGCATTTTCATATATAGAGATCAATATATATATATATATATATATATAACTGATATATATATATATATATATATATATAACAGATTCGCAATTGAATCTGCAAATGGATATACCCTATACAAATGGGTCAAACAGGCACGCTTGACTTTTGCTGCCAAGGAAATTTATTTATGACAGCAGGCGGCGATTGCGGTCGTGTCTAGGGGCTCAACTAGGCGCTGTTAAGGGTTGGCACACTGCGTGGCATGTAGCATGTGGCAAGTGAGTTTTTAACAAATTAGTTCCGTGACATTTTTATTGCTATTTAGACAGCTGAACAGGTGAATGAACTTTCCATTGGGTCACAGCAAAAGGAACTCGAAATTGATTTTAGATTTATTTTTCTCAAATTAAATTAGTAAATAAAAGCATTTTCTACATATGTATATAAATACAAAATTTGGCTAAATAAGAATTTTGTTGGCTTTTTAACGTTTTGGGTCAACAAACGATGCCCACAAAGCCAAAAAGTTCATACGCTAGCGACCTGCAGTTGAATGTCCTTTTTATGTCAATTCAACAGACGTCGAACAACAACAACGATTCGAGGCGGAGGAGTCGTGGCTCCACATTATGTGGCAAGACTTTCGATTTTATTGTTGTTGCGTCTGGCGCAAAGCTTGCAGCAAAGGAAAATTAGCCAAACTTCTAAGCAGCCGAAAAGCATTGCGAGAAGGTCAACGTATTGGATATATACACGTAGATAAATTTATCTATAAATAAACTATTTATCTAACTATACACATACCATATCTCATCGAGGCAATAACAATAAAAAAATATAAAAATAGTATTCAATTAAAATCTTAAAAAAATTAATAATTTAAAATATTTAAAACAAGAAATTTCAGTTTTAAACATTTCAACACTATTCAACATAAAATCGGAAATATCATAACAACTCTTAGCTAAGCTGACAACCACAAATATAGTCGATTCACAAACCAGTTCGAAAAGTTGGTTTACTTATCAGGTAAAAACTTAGTCAAGACACAAACCAAAAGCGAAAGCTTTTAGTTAGAATCGAAAAAATTTCTGTTCTGCTAAATGCTAAAATAAATAAATATATGTACAATAAATTCAGTTTAAGACAACATTAGTTAATATATTATTTACAATATTATTTGACTTTTGGCAGCGGCATTTTGCATAGCAATAATTATATTAAAAACACGAACACTTCAAGCTTCTTTTTTATTAGTAAAAAATATTTAGCGAAGAGCTGGAAAGAGGAGCACAGATTAGCATTAAATACTTTTATTAAAGCAATTAAAAAATATTTATAAAACTATTATTGAAAATAAAAACCAAAATAAACAAATTTTACAAAATCTCAGAATAAATAAATCAAACAAAATTCAGTTAAAAAAATAAATACAAAAATATAAAATGAGAAATAATAAAAAAAAATAAAAAAAAATTTTAAAGTAAGTTCTACAAAATCTACAAAAACAAGAAAAAATATATTCATAAAAAGAATTTAAAATTCTTAAATTAAAATTTACAAAAAAAAAATTTTAATTTAAATTTTTTAAAAATAAATAAGATAACACAAATAAAATCTACTTAAAACTCAGATAGAAAAAAAAAAAACATTTTAAAAAATCATTTTTCATAAACTAAATAAAATGTAGAACAAAAAAAAAATATATATAAATTAAAAAATAAATAATACATAAAATGATCTAATACAGTAAAATTTTTATTAAAAATGAGTTTATAATATATTCTACAAAAACAATTAAAACTGCAAATAAAAATGCAACGAAATAATATTTTGAATGTTTTCCATTTTTTTTAAATAACATTTTATTATTAATAATATTTATGCGACGATTTGTTTTTGTTTTTTCTTTTGTTTATGAATTTAACATATATATTGAAAAATGAGAGCAAACAACTTTAACTTAACTAAACTATTAAATTTTGAGCTGAAAATATACAAAGAGAGATTTTTGGAAATGTTTTATGATTAGTCAAAATATAAATATATATTTGTATATATACATGACGATATATATATAATGTTATTCGATGTTTTTCTTTCGTTTCATGTGCTTAAATAAATAAGTTTTTATAACAATATTAATTATATTAAATGGAACAGAGTAAAGCAAAAAACATTTAGGAAATCATTGGCACAAGTTGCAGTTAAATTAATAATAAAAATTAATTAAACGAAGTCGAGAAGTGTTAAAGAATTTTTAATATTAGTTCGTTTCGATGCGGAATTAAATGCACTTGCACAGTGGTGCAAAGTTCTATAACTAAAACTATAAAATTAAAGAAAAAATACTTTTTGGGCTATAAATAAACATAAATAAAACTAATTTATCGATAAACATATTTCGCTTGCACAGTGGTACACACAACAGTGGTTGCACAGTGGTTTCAATAAAAAATACTTTCATACAATTTATATAATTGTTTATAAAAATATATCGTTAAACATATTCAATGCAAATATATATATATATATATATATATATATATATATATATATATATATATATATATATATATATATTCAATAAGCAATTTGTGTTGCTGCTAACAATTTGCCAGCATCCCACCCCTCCCACTTCAATAATTACAACATTAACAAACAACAACTACAACAATACGAAGTGTGGCGCTCAGGCGAGCGCAATTGCCACAATGATAATCACACCAATTACGATCAGACACAATGTGAGCAAATCGTTTGGTGTAATCAGGCCCACGGTGCAGGCGACTAAAACGTGCTCGAGTGTCGTCAAACCGCTTCGTGTTGCGCCGCCGACAATGCCTGCGCCCGCGCCCGCTCCCACCCTCATTGACCGAACCTCGCCGAAGACGGACAGCGCTTTCGAACTTGTCGTCGGCTCTTCGTCTGTCCTAGCCGGAAGTTCGCTCTCAATTGCATGCGCTGTGCGCTCATTGGCTCTCTCGCTGCTACTGTCACTGTCATTGTCGCTGCCTCTGCTACTGCCGCTGCCGCTGCCGCTGCTCTGGTTTCCGTTACGTGTTAAAGTATTCGCAATAGCAATTTCATTGGCTTCGCTGCTTGGCTTCACGCTGTCCTTGTCACTGCCGCTGCTCTGCTTCTCATTTACCGTTGAAGTATCCTTAATTGGCATTGCATCAGCAGCGAACCCTGTCTTAATATCATTGCTGTTCATTGAGTTCGCTTTGGTTTCATAATTGAGCTTAAGCTCGGAAATATTTAAGTTTATTTGCGGCGTCTCGTAAACGATGCTCTGTTTACGTGGAACTAGTTCGCTTTTAGCTTGCTCTTCGATTTCTTCAAGGAAAGCTTCGTCAAGTGCTTGAGCTACTAAATCACTATCGTCAAGTTCATTGTCATCCAATTGGCATTCGTCAAGTAAAGATTCAGCTGTTAGCTGAGTATCGTTAAGTTCATTTTCGCTCAAAATACTTTCGTCAGCTGGCTTTATTAACGATTCACTTGTTAGATCATAAACGGCCTCGCTTAAAGCGAACTTTTCGTCAAGTTCAGCTTGTGGCTGCTTTTCTGCAGCTGCCTCAAGTTTTTCGCCAGTTTCGTTAAGTGCGACGTCCTCTCGCAGGCTCTCCAGTAGTTCTTCCTCTGTGGGCAACGGCGGAAAGTCCTCGTCTCTTTTAGCCAACTCGTCAGCACCTATCGATACTTCCGATACGTAATGCTCCTTAACCTCGAAGCGCGTATTGAACGTCGTCTGCAGCTCAACTGAGGCATTTGCCTGGGCTGTGGTTAGTGGATAGTCGGCGAGGCTAGCATTACCCGAGTCCGGATTGGACGATGTCTCCTCCAGCGAACTTAACGAATCGAACTGGGTCAAAGCGGGCATTGGAGCTGGTTCCAGCTCCTGCCTATCCATAACAATGTTCACTTTGCTGGCATAGATGCGATTGAAATTGGGCGACAGCTTAAGCTCAGTTTCTGGCTCCGCTTTGCTCTCTTCCAGTTCCAGTTCCAGCTCCAGTTCCAGTTCCGGTATGGGGGCTAACTTATTACTATGACTACTACAACTAGTGAATGTGTTGATGGATGTGGATGGGTGGTTAACATCTAGTTGAGGGTCAACATTCAAAACTGGATTAGTAGCAATAGCTTGGACGAGCGCACAGCGGGGATTAGTAGCGGCATCTGAGGAGCTGCTCTCATTGGCATTGGCATTGGCATTGGCATTGGCATTGGCATTGGCTGGGGCTTGTTCTTGTTGTTGCTGGGCGGGGGCAACGCCTTTACCTGTTAGCTGCTTGCGACGTAGCTGCTTCGACGGTTTCTCCTCGATGCCAAATATGGCGGCCAGCTCCTCGCTCGAATTGTACTGCGAGGGCGAGGAGGAACGTGCTCCACCCGCATCGCCACCCACCGGCGTCAGCTGCAATGGCGGCGATGAGCAGGACGAGGACGAGGACGACGGCGACCGGGCAAAGCTGGCGGTTTGATTTTCACTCATGTTGTTGTTGTTGGTGGTGCTGGTTGTGGCATTGGTGCTATTGGTGCTCGGTGTATTGGTGCTAATTGTTGTGTCGTTCGGCGTCGACGGCACATCGTACGATGTGGTGCTGAATGTCTTGATGGGATCGGTGCTGGGTGCATGATAATCGCTACTCTGCGACTTGATATAATCGCTCGACGAGTACGGATTGAAAGAGGTTATGCTCGAGGACATGGGCCGATTGCCGGTCGATGGACTCGACGACTTGGCCAGGCAATCGCTGCTGGAGCTAAACGAGGAGGCGGTGGTGCTCACAGTGTTCGCTTGATGTATGCCGCTGCTGCCACTGCCGCTGCTCATGCTGGGCGCCGTGGTGCGCTGATCGTCAGTGCTCGATGTGGTGTTTGTTGTCCGGCTCGTACGATCATCTGTGCTCGAGGTGATGTTGTTGTTGCTGCTGTTGTTGTTGTTTCCTGTTTGTCGCGCTTGCAGCTCGCACTCCCGCATTATGCGATCGATGTCGTCGATCGCTTGCGCTTTGGCCTTGACCTCTGCAATGGGACAAATGAGAGTGGCGTCAGCGTGGACCCGCTCGTGTTGGCTACTTTTCTTATTACAGGTGGGCAGATTATCGTAATCTGGCGGCGATTCGGCGTTGCCCAATTCGCTCAGCTGTCGCATGCAGCGCTTGGCAATTGCCTCGATCTTGTCCGATTGTATGGGATCCAGTTTCTTAATCAAGTGCGGCATCACCAGCTGCTGCTGCTGCTGCTGCTGATCCATGGGCCGCTGTTTCACCTGCAGCGCCTCGTGCACCACCACCGGCGGCTCGGTGGTTACAATATCCTTGAGTATCTTTTCGCACACAGCGTTCGCCGCCTCGGACACCTCATCGATGGCGCGTATTAGCTTGCCCTCCTTCTGCAGCTTGCGTGGATGGGGCTCGTCCGTTTGATCGGGCAGCGTGTCCAGCAGCAGCTGGCCACAGCGCTTGGCCGCCTCGGAGACCGCTTCGATTTGCTGCAGTTCCTGCTCCAGCTTTTGCTGTTCCGCATTCAGCTTGGGCCTGGCCGCCGTGATCAGCGCCTCCTTGCGCAGCTCGTCCAGCTCCTGGGTTAGCTTAATGCTGCTCGCCTGCGCGTCCTGCGCAATCTTATTGAGCGCATCCTCGAGCAGCGGCTCGGGCGTGAGACTCTTTCGCGGCGCTGGCACTGGCATTGGCTTCGACTGCTTCTCCTCCTGGCCCAGACGCTCCGGCAGCTGGGCTATGGCCCCGCCCTGGCTGGGATGCCTAAAGGGTATGTGCGTTTTCTTCTGCAGCTCCTCGTCCTGCGCCTTCAGCTTGCGCAGCAGCTCCAAGGTGCCCGGTATGTCGCTGGCCTGCTCGCCGCCCAGATTCGACATGGAGCCGGCTCTTTCAATGCTGCGCGTCAGCTCGATGTAGCTATTCAAGTCTCCGCCGGACGGCTTGGCCGCATCCCGCTGTATCAGATTGTAAATGTTCGCCGATTGGGTGCGCGTGGCGCGCTGCTTCTTTTGCATGGGATAGACGAAGCTGGACTTGGGCCAGGGCGGATCTTTGCGCAGTGCACGCACCGCCAGATCATCCTTGACAATGTCTGGCGAGCCGCTCTTCTTCTTCGGCTCCTTTATCACCGGCTCCACGTGCAGATAGTCGCTTTGCGGCGCCGGCACAATCGGCCCCACGGGTATGCCAAACGGCGGCTGCCTGTCCGCGGCGCGATACTGCAAATTGGCCAGCTGCAGGTTGCGATAGGCCACATCGTCGCGCACCGGATCTGGCTCACCGGCCGGCGAATCCTCATCGTCATAATCATCGGCATGGGCCAAGGCGAACTTCTCGAAGTCGCTCGGCGTGGGCATGCGTGGCTTTGGCTCCGCTTTCGGCGCCAGCTCCGGCTCCGGCTCCTCCGGCTTCGTCTCCATGGGCTCGGTCAGACCCAGGGACTTGTATATGGCCTCCAGTTCATTGATGGCCTCCTCCAGGTTGGCGGGCTTCTTGCGTGGATAGTAAAGTGGCGCCATGGCTGGGGCGCTGGCCTTGCGCTCGACGAAAATGGGCGCCTTCTGATGCTGTTCCCGCTTCTCGGCCACATACTCGTCGTACTTGTTGGACAGGTCCTCGCCCGAACGTCGCTGATAATGATGCGGCATTGAGTTGGTCTTGTGCACATCACGATTCCGGATTTCCACATAGTTTTCCCGGCCACGTTCACTGGGCTTGATGTGCAAGCTGCCGCAGATGACGTTGCTCGGCTCTGGGCACGCAGCGGGCGCTGGCGCTGGAGCAGTTCGCTTCGGCTTCTGCACCTCGGAGTACATGGGCATGGGATAGCTGCGCAGCTCGCTCAGGCCCGAGCTAGAAATCGAGCGCGGCTTGGCCAGTGGCTGCTGCGGGCGCTGGCAATCGCTGCTGGCCGTGGGCAGGCCGCTCTTCGAGGTGCGCAGCACGCCGCTGGAGGCGGGCTCAGGATCGGCCAGTCTGACATCCCTGTCCAGCAGATGTATGGGCTTCCGAGAGCGCGGCGTTGCGTCGGCCACGTAGTGGAAGTCAATGCCATTGGGCAGCGACTTCTTGCCGGGCATCGCATTGCGTTCCGCCCGCGTGATGAAGCGACGATGCTGCGACTGCGCTGGGGCACTGGCTATGGAGCTGCTCGGCTGCGAGTTGAGCGAGTGCACGGACTGATAATGCGACGCCGTTGGCTGCCACATGCGATCATCGGAGACGCAGCGACCGCGCTGATCGAACGCATACGAAACGGGTCGCAGGTCGCTCGAGCTGTAGCCGACATGAACGCGCCGCAGTGGATCGCGCGGCGGCGGCGGCGGTGGCAGCGGCTTGCTCTGCATGCGTCCATTCACATTCTGCAAATGGATTTGGCTGTCGTAGCTAATGCTGCGCTTCGCATCGTTCTGCATGGAGTTCTGCAATGGACGCCATTGCACATAGCCGGAGGAGGCGGTGGCGGAGGCGGAGGCGGAGGCGGAGTTAGGTGATGCCTGATAGATGGATAAAGGCAATGGCTGCGTCTTATAGCGCTGCTGCTGCAGCTGCTGCGGCACATTGCCATGGCTCACCTCGCCGTCGCGGGACAAGCGTTTGTAGTAGCGCTCGTTGCGTGCCGCTCGACTGCGGCGGCTCTGACCGGCGGCGCCCGGACCAAGCAGCGCCTGGCCGCCGCTGTGTATGCTCTCGTCGCTGCGGTACTTGGAGAACGTGGATGAGTTCAGTGAAATGATCTCCTCCTCGCTGGAGTGACCCGGCTGCTTGCCACGCTGAGCTGAGCGCGATTTGCTAGGCGGCAGCTGCTGCGACTGCGACTGCGACTGCGACTGCGGCGTCAGATAAAGTCGACGATCCAGCGAATTGCTGGGCCGGCCGTAGGGGCCAGGCTGGTTCTGATAGTAGGGCTCAGGCGGCACCATTTCCACGGGCAAAAAGAACTCGTTGTCCGCATGATTTGGCTGTGACTGCGGCGCCACAATATGATCGAAGTTGAGCGTTTTGCTGCTTCTGCTCGATTTAGTTGGATTTTTGGATTTGGGTTTCGTGGCGCTCTGACGCTGGGCGGGCACAAAGCCCGCTTTGCGATCCTCCTCGCTGGAGCTGGCGCTGCCAGCATCCGCAGCATCCTTCTTCTTGTTGCGAAACAGGCGGCCGAAGGACCATTTCTGTTTGCTCGACAGCTGCTGCGTCGATGAGCCGCTCAAGCTGTGCTGCTGCTGCTGCTGCTGCTGACTGCGCAGACGCTCCATCTGCAGCTCGTTGTTGTTGTCTAATGTTGCTTCAGTGGCCGCTTTGTTGTTGGCTTCATCGGTTAGCTGTAGCTCTTTGGGCAGCGGCAACTGAGGACGCCAAGTCGTTTGAACAATCTGAAAGAAGAGAGAAGAGAGAGAGAGATAAGTTAGTTATAGGCGAGCAAATCAAGATAAGTTTTATTTAAACATTTGTTTTATTTGCACTTAATGTTGCTCACAAAGAGCTGCTATTGTTGTATTGTTGTTGCTGCGATAAGATTTCATTATGTGTTAACTTGGCTCAAAGTGCTGCAGATAACTCGAAGCGCGCTTTTGACGAGCAAACTCGAAAAACACTTGAGCATATAGCATAGCATATATATACATACACATACATATATATATATATATATACATACACACACACATATATATATATATATATATATATATATACATTTATTTATGCTAGGCTTTTCAAGCAGCTCAAAAGTTTTGCTTTTTCTTGTTTGATTTGCTTCACAGCCACAAAGCCAACTCCGGCCAAGGTTCATTGCACCTCAGGCACAGACTTGGCTTAAACAAGTGCTTGCCACATTTACTTGATCGATCTAGAACACATTTGCATAGCAAGCTATACATCCCACGCCAGAGCTAGAGCAAAATGCGCAGAGTTTTCCCAGGCGGAAACGACTCATTATCAAAGCCTTAAGCCAAAGGCAAAAAAACACACATATCTTATCAATCAAGATAAGCAAACTTTGCTGACATAAGAAAATAGCATAAAACATAAAAAATTACAGAGAAAAAGTAATTAATAACTCAAGTTGAAAGACAAAAAGTTTTTTAATCTAATCTCAAGTTGAGCGATAAATAAATAGATAAATAAAGTGCATATAACTTATAGATAAACACATAGATAAATACAAGTGTATATATAACTTATAGATAAATATATTTTAAGTTATGTTGAGCCTGAATTTTTTTTTTAATTGCTATTTTTATTTGCAATGTCTTAAACTAGACAATAAACAAATTTGTTAACAATAATATATTATTACTCCAGAAAATCCAGCGAATTATATAATTGTAGCTGAGGCCCTAAGCGCTATACAAAACTCTGCTTGTTGCTAGTTCTACTATATAGTTTGATCGTTTGGCCAGTTTACAAAAGTTTTATATACAGAAAAGCCAAAAAAAAACATACGAGGTCTGCTAAATTTTTTAATTTCTATTTGAACTTATATTGATGCTCAAAACTTGCTCACTTATTTATGCTGAAAAGTTCGCTTATTTTAAATGTTTAATGTTGGACGTCTTCGTTGTTTGATTTTTTCAAAATATAAAGCAAAATTTTGGCCAAAAGCAACAACATTCAATGAGGTCACAGACAGCAGATGCTTCAGCTCTGGCCTACAATAAATTTTAACTTGCTGCCATAACTAAAGAGGCTCAAGCTGAGATGAGGCTAGGCGACAATTGTGTTGCTAAAGATGGCATTGAAGTAGAACAAGAAGTTCACAAAATATGATTTCAAATTTTAACAGTAATATCTGCTGGATAAAAATACTTTGAAGAGCGCAAACATAGATATTCATAGCTAAATATTGAACAGCATTTTTATATGACAAGAAACTCAGAAACTCTTTACATATATTTCGTATAAATATATTTATACTCTTATTGACTTATTTTTTCCACATTTCTATATATATCTATACGAATCATATACAGAAATAAATGAAATTGCGTGTGAAATTCAATTTTTGCTCATTTGCCTCAATTATTTGTTCAATTTCAATTTTGTTTATAGAAAGAGCTCTGAGACTTTGGGCGTGGGAGACATTCGTGCTATGATACATCATTTCCGCTGACGATCTTTTATCATACGAGCAGACAGCGAACACTTGAGCCTTATTAAAAGCAAATAAACAATTCACAAATGTAAACAGAAAATGTTTCAGGTCCAATCACAAGTCTCATATGCTAACTCAGATCTTAATTGGCAGCTATATTGATCAGATTATGGTTTTAATATGTTTGCTTTAATAAAAACTTCTGAGCGGATTTAATGCGAATTGTTTCAACACGTGTTTGCCCGCCTTACAAAAGTCATTCGAATGGATTTATGGACTGCAACTTGATGCTAGAAAACTGGCCACAATAAAAGTCAACAGCGCACAGCAGCTATGTGACTCAGTTGAAAGATAAATTTTCAACAGCATTTTCGTATGTAAAATGGAATATGGAAATATTCAAAGCAGCTGCGTAATGTTTGGCACACAGCCAAGGCACAAATCACTCATACGCACTGTGCAACTCGTGGCGGGCTGTGGCGCAAGCTAACAAAACACAATAGAAACGCACGCAGACACACACACAGCGAGTGTGCGTGTGTGTGTGTGTGTTTGACTAAAAATAATCACGCAAAAAATTGCACACAAAAAATCGTTTGCAAATTGTTTTCCAATTGAAATGGCAAAATCTGATTGGAAAGATGTGAAATTTCAAGCGGAAAAACACCAAATTTACGCGCGATTTCAACTATATAATGGCAATCTATATAGAGCTATATAGAGGTATATGCAGCGAAAAGCGTTCTGGGTTGAAGACGCGCGACCACTCGACTGATAGGACAGGAAAACTTGAGCACGAGATCGAGGCGATCGCGGCGATCGCGGCGATCGCGACGTTCGAGAAGCTTTTTTCTCAAGCTCTTTTCCCTTTGCCAAAAGAGCAAGGCAAATGAGCTTAAGAGAGCAATGGGGAGAGAGAGTAAGAGAGAGCAAATGACTTTTATTTAGGATGATAGGACAAACAAGAAAACTGTTTATAAAATCGGGCCGATCGTGTCGATCGCTGCTCGACCAAGCTCTTTCCCTGCAAAAAGAGCAAAGCTTTTTAGCTTGTGGGAAAGCAAAGAGCAATGAATAATGTTAGGATGATAGGACAAACAAGAAGCTTATGGCAGTGCCAAGAGCAATAGGACAAACACAAAAAAAAATTTACATGAGATCGTTGCTGTCGAAAAGCTTTCTAAAGAAAGAGCACAACCTAAGAGAAGATGCCCATACCCATGGCAGCTATGTAATAGGTTTTTAAGTGTGCCTCATCAATTCAATTAAGTAAACAGTAACAAAATCTAAATGATTTTCCATTTGGTTTTGAAGATCTGTAAATAGAAGTCAATGAACTGTTACGAAAGTGTTACGCGTCCCCGAGAGACTTTTAATTAACGAAAAAAAAAAACGAAAGACTCGAAATGGGAAAGACAATTTAATGAAAATGTTGCTCTTACATCCCCAACCAACCATTCATCCATCCGCCCACCCAATCATATAAGCGACAAGTCCAAGTAGATCAGAAAATGTGTCAGCTGACATTAAGAAAATCATTAATGCCAAGATTTTTGTGCATCAAATAAATTGAAAATGTGGCCCAAAAGTGATGTTTCGGGTATTTTAAATAGATTGACTAAGGTGAACAACTTGAAATCTTTTGCATCTTGCTCCAAATAGCCGCGCCAGAGATTCCTTAATAAATGATTCACTTAGACGCTTTGTTGGTTCATTCGCCTCGTCTCGGCTCGCCTCGTCTTGCTGTCAGCCAAGTAAAAATATTTCTACAGACTAACAAAAAATGGAACGAAGTGCGTTTGTAATGCGGAAGATATTTGCGCTGTCGAAAAGTAAAAGTACCATTCCTATCTAGATATATATATAGAACTACACTAACTTTCTATATATAGACTTTGCTCTACTGCAGACCCATTCATAATGGGTAAGCAGGGTATGTTGGGTGTGTCCAAATGTATGTGACAGTTAGTTGGAGCTGTCAGCAGAACTGTGAGCAGGTATATATATATATATATATTCGTGATCACATTTGACATTTAAAACGATCTGTTCATGTTCAGTCACTCAGTCATTCAGTTGGTAGAGCTGTAAGCTCACTTTTTTTTATTTAATTTAATTTTTAATTTAATTTTATTCAACTTATCTCAACTTTCCATTAACATTTTTGTAGAATCGATTAAAATCGATATCAAACTTGACATATTTGAGCATATTTCACATATATTTAGAGCCAATATATATAAATTTCTGATCACGTTTGACATTTGAGTTGATCTGATTCGTTCGTGTATCATTTACCAAGCATGATAAGAGCTTGAACTGTAAAAATGAGCTAATCGATAATTTTAGTTTAAAATTTACAAGATATCGTTTAAAATCGATATCAAAATTTTCTTATTTACTACATTCATCACAGATTTTAGCAGCTAAAGCTTATCTACTATAAGCTATAGAGCGATCAGGCAGACTTCACATGAAGAGAACAACGTTTTCACAGCATACTGAAGCCCTTAGAGACTTCATTATGGAATTTACATTTCCTATTAACAATTGAGCTGAAGTTTGAGTAAAATTCTTAATTAATATTCATACGTTTAGCTGGCTGAAGCTGTTGATTAAAAGGTAATTCCTTTTTATTATTGCAACAGCTGTTTGTTATCGATAATTTAAGCAACTGCTGAAATATAGTTATCGATAACACAGTTCTTCTATTATCCTAGGGTATCTTCCAAATGTGCACTTCTATAAAACTCTTGTTAGTCTGCTTAGACAGCTGAAGTTTGGCTAGAATATGGGTCAGTGTGCATTTAAGCTAAGTAGCCCCGAACCCAAACAGTCGGCAATCGGCAATCGGCAATCGGCTATCTCCAATGACCAATAAGCAATAGCTAATTAAAAGCTGAAAATAATTTGATTTTTAATTAAAATCGCAAACATTTTTGCAGCTGTTCGCTTGGAAAGTAAATGAACTGCAACTGCGACGCATTTGCTGCCAAAAATTTATTCATCGAAGGCAATTTAAATAAAAGTTTAATGACTTTTGCCTTATTCTGCTTGATCGAGTTTTAATATATTATATGCTCGTTCAGGCAGTCAAACTAAGCATATTAGCTGCTTAGATTTATAAATGAAAATATAGCAAATCTGTATAAAAATAAATATAATATTTATACTCGTATATCGTATGAAGATGCATGTTTACACTTGTGTATATTGAAATAAAAACATAAAAAATACCAAATGAGTATAAAGAAATTCGAAATAGACATCAAGTGGCAT